TAGAATACAAGAGAGTAGCATAATTAATTAGCAGTATCCAGGAGACAGGAGTAGCCTTTTTTGTACATCGTGTGATTTGTTCCGACCCTCTGACGGTCGGAAGGGAACGATTGTAACGCCCCGACAAAGTTGGATGGCACCGACCAAAGCGTCTAGGCCCTGGCCACGCCAGCTGGCGGTTTCCGAAGGCTAACTCATGCAGTGGCATTCTTTTAATCTGGAGCCTTGCTTGTATCCAACTCTGCACCATGTTATACTAAAAAATAAAAAATAAAAACTTGCACCATGTTAAGCCTTTTCTTCTCCCGGAGATCCTGCTGTTTGTGATCCCTGCCGCTGGAAGATTTTTCCAGCTGCTGCAGGTTTTTCGAGAACGTTGGAAATGCAGATGACTGAGCTCAGAAGTCGTACTCCCTCGGTCCCAAGGACGTAAATCTCGTTTTTCGGGAAAGATTAGTGTAAATGTAAAATTACGCATTTGCCCCTCTTCTATGCTTTTAAAAATGTAGGATTACGTTTTTTTTAGGACGGATGAAGTAGGTTCATGGAGAAGAATTGTCATGTTGTAGCTGGAGTCGAGATTATGTATGTGTCCAATGTTAATAATACAGCCTATGATAGCTCTCCTAATATTACATTCTCTTTAGGACGGAGAAAGTAGGTTTTTGAAGAAGGATTTCTCTTTAGGACGGAGAAAGTAGGTTCTTGGAGAAGGATTGTCGTGTTGTAGCTGGAGTCGAGATTATGTATGCGTCCAATGTTAATAATACAGCCTATGATCCTGATCAAATTTTGTTTGATCGTGGTGGTGCCTGTTCGCTGTAGTTTGCTTCTACGAAAAGGGCTACTTGCCTAGTTTCCACAATGGTTTCCTTCTCAAATTCCAACGGCGGCCACAACATTGCTCAGCTCAAGCAATACTAACATCTCGACATTGCAAGAGCTATATATATTCTGCTTTAATAGGGCTTTCCCTCTGTGAACTGGAGCATCACACATGCAGCAAAAGATAACAAAAACTTGACACAAAATTTTTTGTTCCATCAAAATCAAGGTTCACTTGCTGGTTCGTCGCTGGTTTTCTGGCGTTTGATTGAGGGTTCATTCTCAACTACCTCTTTGATCCCCTCCGGTTCTGGGGCTGTATTATCTGGCGCAGCAGCACCGTTTCCTTCTTTGTGGCAGTCACCACCACCATTCACAGCACCATTGATAGCCTCAGGGCCCAACAGAGAGACATGTTTGCTCGTGATCTTCCGGCCTGCTCTGACCTTCGGACCCCAGTGCCGTTCTGGGTTTGGAAGAAATCGTTTAATCTTCTTTGCCCGAGCCTTGCTGAGGGCAGCAACTGCTCTTGAAAAATTTGCCTATGAAAACACACACACACACACACACACACACACACACACACACACAAAAGGAATAATAAATAAATATACCGTTTGCAGCCTACATAGAAAAAAAACATACAAGGAACATTGTAGGCCCAATTTATAGACAACATACTTCTAGCTTTGGTGATTTCGAAAGGATCGCCGTGCCAGGTGTGTCACGTGGCTGTTCCTTAATAGGATGATTCTTCACCTGTGTTGAGGTTTGCAACAATAAATTTTGTACGGTAATTTAGAAGTTCATATAGGCAAGACATCCACCAATTCATACTTAACACAAGATGCTGATTTTGACTTATGATAGGTGTAGGAACAATCCAAAACTTACCCAGCAGCGCATGATGTCCCAAATAACATCCCAAGGGGCATCAGATTTAACCCCAAGTGGGTTAACATGGGTGCTTGAGATCCGATACCCTGCATTTAGAACTGCAGACCGAAACATAACCAAAGATGGAGATGTGCACTTAACAGTGCCTGCTATGTTATGGAGACTGAAGAACAATGGAATGTCATGTAACTCCTGCATCAGAAGAATAACTCAAATGAAGTTGAGTGTTTAGAGTATACAAAATACTTTGTGAATGGCAAACAGTTAGTCACTCTAAAAAATAGTAATAGGTTGCCAAAAGACAAAAGTTAAGCTATAGAGTCAAACTTTCTGCAAAATCCTCCCAAAACTTAGCTGCAATCATTCAATTGTTATCATGCAAAAGGGGAATGAAAAAAAGGCCCAGAAATGGTTTATTGTTGCACTTGGGTAACCTATCGACTAGATAACCAAATTATTGACTGAATGGCCTATACATGTAGATTGTATATCTCCGTTCCCAATTACTAATTATATAGCTTATACTTTGGTTTTGTCCTAAGTCTAACTTCTCTAACTGTGACCAATTTTATAGAAGAATACACCAATATCTACCATGCCTAATTGGTTTATTAAACTCTCCATGGAATGTGTTTTGAATTTTTTATAGTGCATTTATTTGAACTTATAGATCTTAATATATTTTTCTAACAGTCGGGTAAAAAACTCAAAGTTAGAAGTTTAACTTAAGACAAACCTAAAGTGAACTGTAATCATTGTTTCTTTGACTTGAACAGTAAACCATGATTAATAGGTCATCAAAACATTGACCTTTCTTTAAAACTCTTCCAAGCGTTATATTTTAATTAACCTATCTACTAATAAAGCATAAAAAATCTGAAGTTGGCGATACAAAATAATATAAGAAATTGATAGGCCTTTAACAGTCACGAGAATAACAATTTGAGACTCCTCAGGCATCAATACAAGGCATGAGTAGGGAAAGTCAAACTTAATTTTGAACAACAATTCGTCAAATTATATGAATGTTTAGTGCATACAAAGTTGCACCAATAAATTTGTATTCAAAGTGCCTTTAAGATTATATTGATTTTGTGGCAAGTGACAATAAATTGCAAGAGAAATTAAAGGTCAAAATCTACTATGGAACACTTTCCCCCCTACCAAAACACACCTAACATTTGACAGAGGAGGGAGGGGGTAGAGATACCTCTGACACAGTAGTTAGAACTGAAGTAATTTTATCATATGCAGGATATCTATCCTTCATTGACTTAACACCTGTCAAAGTAGAAACTACCCAGTCTTGATCATGAATAGGAGCTGACCATATTGGCCCACCTACATTAAATTTCTTTCCACAATCACTGCACTCTTGAGGAACAACAGGTCCAATAGCAGGTACATGCTTCACACCATTATTCTTCTGCTTATACAGGAAGAACAAACAAAAGGAAAGTCAAGAGAGTGCCAATATGTAACAGAGAGAATGTTGTATCAAAGAGTTAAATGGTATGCAAAACATACCTTCGGAACAGTCCTCGCAAGACATTGAAGATGGAAAGAGTCACAGCCAACACACTGATATATGTAAGAAAGTTTAAGAGGTGTATTCTTTATTTCACTTGCAGAACTGCACGTGGAATCCATATATGTCATATTAGAAAAAAAAGTACTTTAACCAAATATGAAACAAACTAGGAACTTGGGGGGACTCACGTGAATACTCGAAAAAACACGGATATAAAAATCCATGAACACAGAGAGAACAGGCACAATATATCGCTTAAAACCGATTTGCATGGCTCTGGTGTAAGAAAAGAATGGTTAAGGGCATGAGAAACTAAGATACCCAAAGAATGAAGCATGTAAAGTGCAGATTAACTTGATACATCATTTAGCAAAAGCCTGAAATGGAAGTAGTTTATAGTCCTCAGTATACATATTGAAATTTGTAAATCACCTATGTACCTCAATACTGGCAAGGAGGATTCTCAAAGCCATTTCGTGGCAATACTTGCCCTTGGTTGGGAATGAACCATATCTACAAAACATAATTGATTATTACACTATAAACTGCTCAGATAGAACATTCCTTTAACATGTAGTACTGACATACTTCGAGTAACAAACTTCTCCATTGGTACCACAAAGAACTGCCATATCAGTGGCAGTGCACATCAATAAACCACCATCAGCAACAGCCTGTACAGCTGAGTCGAGAAATATAGATGGTGATCCATAAGGGTCCAGATCAACCTAAGAACAATGAGAAGAAAATATGGTGTAAAACCATACTAAATATAATTTGCAATGTTTATAGAAACAACCATTATCATTTAATCCAATTATTTCATGGCATATTTACATGTGACTTTTCAGTCCATTGACTTATACCAAGAAAAATATTCACCCTTGCATAATTAATACCAGAAACTTCAGATTCAGAGTCAGTAGCCAGAGACATAACCATATCAATGGTAACCCCTGCACCCTGACACACACAAGTGCATCATTCCAATCAAAAAACTAATGTATACAGCAACATTGAATCCATTGTGTTTTCATCTTAGAAAGAATAACGGTAACAAAATGTCAGATTTAGAAATATTTTTCTCAAATGCCTTACCACATCAAATTCTTTTGGATGCATCAGCATGTGAATTCGAGCATCAACCAAGTAAGCTTCCACCTCACTAGTAGCGGAAGCGCCATTAAACTTTATGTTTCGCTTGCAATCTTCGACAGAAGCTGAAGAAACAAGGACCATAGTGAATTAGTGAAATCAAGCGCGGAGGCGTCAATAGCTAGGAACATAAGAAGCAAGTTTAGTAAACTGTAGCATTACCTTTATCATTGTCCAGAGCAACTACCTTTCCTAAGCCCTCAACTTCACGGGCATACCGAGAGATCGTGAACTCAAAGTAGCAGCCAAAGCCTGGGAAAAATAATTAGCCGTGCAATCTACAAACCTAGATGTTATGAGAAGAAAACTAGATATTTGAAAAAAGAAAAACTAGATATCAGTTAATGTTGATGTAGAAGTATACAGAAACTGCATTTCCATTAATGATGAAATGTGGGAAGGATACTCCCATCTAAACATCGTTCCGAAGGATTTAAATCTGTCTGTAACCAAGCCCAGATACTCAATGTCCCTTTCAGATGGATATTCAAAGTTGGATATATGATACGGATATACTTTATCATTATCCGATTATCCCTTGACCGAAACTATCCGTTAGTATCTGTATCCAACACACCTGACAATATTTGTGTCTGAATCTGAATCCGATAAAAAATAACTATTTGTATTCATATCCATATATATTTGTTAAGTATTCGATCCGTTTTCAAACCTAATTTCCATATTATTATGAGAAATCTCACCTCAAGGACAAGTGGTGGCTTAAGCTCTCTGGTTACTTTCCATGAAGGTTTTGTTGCTTCTTTTGACAGATCATCAATTTGATCTTCAGCTTTATTTAGCTCCTTTTCACAAACAACATCCATTTCATCTTGCTGGCCAGTTGACGCATCCTCTCCATTTTGACTGGATGTTTCACTCTGTTTGTTTTTTTTTCATGTGATGTATTCCTCTTGTCCACCAACGCTTCATGTTCTTCCTTGCGCTTAGCAACAAAGGTCCTTAAAACAGCAATGGACATGTCTCTGTTGTGAACCTAATCAAAGCAGTAAACTTCAATTTTCAGAAATCTGTATGATGGTACAACTGGGAAATTATCCCTAACTTTGGAGCCATATGTGATTTTTCCTCAACGTATCAACTTTAAAACAATAACAAAATTGACTATCAACAAACAGTAACTACTTTCATTAGAGAAAAAGTATGTTTCATAGCTATGTACCTATTATGGAAAAAATCAGGGAGTTACATCACAATTTGAAACTGTTATCTTCTTCAATGATTATGGCCTCCTCCTACCGTAGAATGAGGTAAACTTGGAGTGGACAACTTGATCACTAATTGATTTCCACAGAAACTCAATTGACAGCAAGATAAACAAGACATACACAAAACACAATTCGCTGTTTGGTCTCTGCGTAATAGCAAGCTGAACTGCTACCAGTCTGTGCGAAGCACTAGTAAATGCAAATGAATTGTGATAACAAAATAGTTTTAACAGGCACAAAGCACCCTAATGGTAGAATTCAATAAACATGAAGCCTACAGACCCAATCCCACACCAGTCACCACCCAACACTCAATTTGGAATCCTACAGAATACTGCAAAGCAGAAGTTCAATAAGCGGTAAAGACTGATCAACTGGAAGTCAACAGGTCACTTCAGTAAATTGCTACAAGCAAATTCAAGAGTGCTGAGTGTAAGCTAACGCAGATAAGGAACCGATAGAACAGCGCCCCCATTAAAAAAAAAAGATAAAAACACGAAAAATGGAAGACGAACAGACCTGCACGGGATTGTAAAAGACGGCGTTCCTCTTGTGCAAGAGGATCTCTGCCTCTCCCTCCTTCCTGATCTCGTAGTCCTTGAGCTTGTCATCCACTTGCGCCATGTCTCCAAAACCAAAACCCCGGGGCGAATCTAGTAGAGGGACATGGGTGTACACATGTAACCCAATGATTTTCGCAAAAAAGTTAGAAGTTACTAGGCATCGAATAACCAAATAGCTTGAGGTAGTTTGTGAACTCGGTTTCGCACAGCAAACAGGGAAGAGAAGGGGATGGGAATACCTGCTGGGCGCTCTTCACCGGCGAAGGCCTCGGCACCTGGTGTAGGGCGGCGGCGGTGGCGGGAGCCCAACTAGAACCCGATTTGGGAAGGGGGAGGTTCGATCTGGGCTGAGACGCTGTCGGCGGTGCGAGCCAGGCGGCGGCGGCGTACGGACGAGAGGGATGCGAGGAGGAGGGGAACGAGGCAAGTTTGAATGGCTGGGCAAATATACGTGGAATTTTATATTAGGGTATTATTTAGCTCGGCACCATTATAATTATCAAAGTTTTGCGAATTTAATTATTACTATTGGTCTATTTTGAAGCATATCATTACAATTCTTCCTCTTTCACAGATATATCATACAATATACACGGGACGATTTGGGCCCACCTACCGAGTTGAAGATGGTATGTGACATCAAACTTGAGATTGGGAACGTGAGGACTGAAATCAAAGACTTGAAAGAGGAGCTTAGGAAGGGAAAGAATCTGATTGTCAGATTGTTTTTTAGATAATGGATTTTTATTGATAATTGTCGGATTGTTAAGGAGTAACTCTTTAGCTTTTGTCAGGTAAGTCTTTGATTTAAGGGTCTCCCTCTCAACTTGTGAAAACACGTGAGATTCCCATAGCTTGAGAGAATGCCAATTCTTCAAGTGGTCCAACCTTTTGATAGAGAGGTAGTTGCTGCTTCTGTAAGCATATACAACAGTATCTTGGTGTTTGGTTGTTTAAATTTTATCGCATGTAGTAATCTCTACATTGTAGTTAAGGTCTCATGTTTTAATAGAGGTACGAAGGATAAGAATATTTTAGAACAACCCAACACCAAGACACTTTATATGTTTTTGTCTTAGGTTATATTGATCTAATACAGGATAAGACTAATGCAAGTAATAAGATAAAAATGACATGAAAACTCCATGTGAACATGGAGAATGGGAATAACAAGTACCAATCAGCATGTCACATTGGGCTGCTCTTAAGTCCACAGGGACATCGGTGCCCATCTGAAGAGGGCTACAAGTTTGAATCTGAATCCTGAAGAGAGCAGTGAGATGCCTGCTGAGATCCACGATGCCTAGGGTGGCATAGAGGAAGTTGATCCTGAGGAATCTCATGGTCACTATGAAACGTATCAGCAACATACGGGTTATCTTTCGTAGCCATATCAGCCAGTGTCTCCTTGGAAACACTGTTCGTTCACTGAAATTTGGCTTATGCTGATGTTTATGCTGATTTTTTGTGAGAGAAAAACATTGTTCGTTCGCTGAAAAATACTGCTGAAGTAGTTCGAGCGAACAGGGCAAAAAAAAAACATGGATTTGAGACTGCACAACCACCATTCTGTTGCCGGCGGATTGCCTCCGGCAACGGACAACCGCACCGTGCCAGTTTCTTGTATTGCCCTACGTACAGGCTGGTGCCAAGCAGCGCCGGCAAGCCATCGGCACCACTGCATCAGCAAGGGCTGGGGGCAGCTGTAGGCATTCACACAGTTTTGCCGGCAACCATCATGCATTGCATCACACAAACAAATTCTACTTACAAGTTACAAGCAAGACTACTTGTGCTACTGCAGCGTTCTTTGTAAGTACACGCTGCTGCATCGATCTACAATACGTACGGGCACAACCACCATCTTTAAAATCACAAACCCAAGAATTACAGCTCAACTGTAGATTCACCGTGTAAAATGGAACGTGGAATCGAATAACCTGACTGACTGACCAAATCCCGCACAGCAAAACAAACAAACAAACGGATGAACACTCAGTAGCCACCACACTTCAGCTCAGGACATCAGCATATGGCCTTCTTGCCTTCCCCGTCCGGTGGCGTGGTGGCGGCCTATCGTGTCTCGGTGCCGAGGGACCCGTCCTTCTGGAGCTTCAGGCTCAGGTTACTGAACCGTTGCCTCGAGTACTGCCGAGAGGCCTTCCTCCAGTCAGTGCCGGCCTTCATCATCGCCGCGAACTCATCGTAGCTTATCTTCCCGTCCTGACAAAATAGCACAGATAACACCTTGTTGTTAGGTTGACCGGACAGGTTGGTCTTGTGACCAGAGGGGATTTGAACTGATCAAACTTGCTACTTTTAATTACTCCAAAGTCCCAATCACATTGCATCACAAGCCCTTATGGCCTTATCCTATCCTTCTCACTCTCTCGGTCCCAGATGCTGTCTATTTTAAAACAATACAGATTTATTACAGTCAACTATCCTTTAGTCAAATAAATTAAGTCCATGCCTGGCAACTAGCAGCACCTGAACCTTGACCTTGTCATGCGACCATGGACAAGGCACACTTCTTTTAATCCAGAAACTACAACATCCCAATAGGTTTTCTCCGCTACTCCCATACTAGGTACGCCGTTGATGATATGAGTTCATTTATTAGCATTTTTAAAAACCAAATGCACTAGCATTTTACCAGCATAAGTGTACTACAAACTAAAATTTGTGGCCTATGGAGGTTGATTTTGCTGACCTTATCTATGTCCACATCTCGGATGATGCCATCAATAATGTCTTCATCATTTCCCTCCAGTTCATCAGATAGCGCCTCTCTAAGCTCTTCGATTTCTATATACCCACTCTTATTCCGGTCGAAGTATGTGAAGGCCTTTTCGATGTGTTCATCGTTGCCTATTTTTCTCACGTGAACAGACACAGTGACGAATTCCCCATAATCTAGGGTCCCATTTTTATCAACATCAGCCTGCAAAGCATTGAAAGTAGCATTTAACAAGTTTGTCCAAGATAATTTAGCACTACTGTAGAGTATCTTTGCTTAGTAACTCACAGCATCCATCAATATCTGAAGATCTGAATCAGGCATTTGGTTTCCCAGTTTACGAAGGCCGGCCTTGAATTCCTCGAATGTTAGCTTGCCATTCTTGTTCACATCCATCTTATCAAACATTTGCTTTATGTCAGCTACTTCCTCCACAGACAGAAGCTCAGCAATCACCTGCAGATGGTTAAGCATAAAATTAAATCACTTTAACTAGATGATCCCCAATATTCCATTCTTCTTGTATTTTGCATGCACCTTCTATGGGCATGTTTGGATCCACCAACTAAACTTTAGCTGGCTAAATTTAGCTGCTAGGATCCAAACGGCCCAGCTAAAGACCAGCTAAAGTTTAGCTGAGTTAAGCTGCTTCAACCTATCTAAACTCAGCTAAAATTTAGCTGAGTCTATTAGCTGGAGAATCCAAACACCCCAGCTAAAGTTTAGCTTTGAAATTTTAGCTGGCTAAACTTTAGTTGGGTGGATCCAAACAGGGCCTATGCCCAATAAGGAAGGTGATTATGTTTGCTACCAACATGCAGTAAATCTTACCCTTAGTGCTTTCTTCTTTAACTTGTTCATTGCAGCAAATTGCTGCAATCTTGCTCGGACAGTATCACCAAGAGAAATGTCTGGCATCTTTTTAGAGTCATGTAACCATGGATGCTCTGCTCATTCAACTAACATTGTCAGAAAAGCAATGATAAAATAATTTGATACATACAATTAGTAAAATCATAATAATTCAAGCATCGTATTTCAATAAAATACACTATAACAGAATGATAGTAGAAAGATAGAAGTACAGGACATTAACTCTTTCGAATAGCAAATCACACTTGCATAGTCATATAAATCTTCTGTGTATTGTATAACTCCCAGAATGAGAATTTTAAGGAAAGTCTGGTTCATGACAGCCAATACATAATTCTGGCACATCACCAATTAAGATTCAAATTTTCCCTAACAAATAACAATCATAGAGTGGTAGCATCCTAAGCCCGTTGTGCAATAGGAATAGGTGATAGTGAGGCTTACCAAGTACTTGTGCTGCAGTAAACCGTGTTAATGGATTTGGGTCCAGCATCCGCCTGACAAGATCTTTAGCAGGCTCAGATACTCTGGGCCATGGTTCTCTTTTGAAATCTACAACAGATCGTATAATTGCCTGTGCTACTCCCTGTTCAGTTTCTGCAGAGCATCACGAATATGGGATTATGATCGTGTTCTAACTTATTATTAACATGCATGCATTCCAGACCAGAGTTTGAAAGTACCTGCCCAAAATGGTGGTACACCACAAAGAAGTATGTAAAGTATCACTCCAGCACTCCAGACATCAACTTCAGGGCCATAGTTTCGCTTTAGAACCTCTGGAGCCATGTAGTATGGACTGCCTACGATTTCAGTAAATCGCTCACCTACATACGAAGGCAATAATTATTCAGATTTTCTGTAAAGATATGCATATGTCCAATAAACTGCATCAACGAAGTTAGCTCTATGTTGCTGGGAAATGAAGCACATTACAATGGGAATTACATATAGACACTCCACTTTCTTATTGTCCATAGGCACAACAAATGCCATGTGTTGAAAAAATAATTGATTGCTCATTAGTTGTCCTTAAAAACTTACCAGGCCTGAAGAACACAGACAGCCCAAAATCAATTGTTTTCAGGGGGGAACTCTCCTTCTTGTTTGCATATAAAAAGTTCTCTGGTTTAAGGTCCCGGTGAATGACACCATGCCTGTGGCACATCTGCACAGTAAAGAACAAGGATTCATGTCACGACACATGGAATGATGCAAAAATCAAGTTATATACTGTTTATGTTAAAAAAAATAGTGCAAGGAACAAAGTAGAAAAAAATTATATTGCTTTGCCAATGTGACTCCTACTACAAATATTTGCAGTAAAATGTATTTGACTAAAATAGCTCCTCAAAGATAATTTATTACAATCTGATTAATCATTTATTATGATTAATCAGATTGTAATAAATTATAATCTGATAATCATTTATTAAGCCTACCCCAACTTGCTTGGGACTGAAAGGCTACGTTGTTGTTGTTGATTAATCATTTATTAAAAAAAACTAGCTCCAGAGGTTGAAAACCCATTGAAAAGCATGTTTCGTACTCGTCAAATAGGACAAAAATGATCAACACCCGCTCATGATTCATGACCAATCACCAAATCATCAAAATATCAGCCAGTGCCAACTTGAGCGACAAGCAAAGAGGTTTCTAGTCTGAACTATATTTTCATATAAGAATATAACAGAGTAACAGACACTACTAGTAGCAATCATACAACTTTAAGTAGTAAACAAGAAGCTAGTAATAGGAATCAAGAAGCAAGAAGAAAGAGATGCTCACCTGGACGACCTCCACGATGGTGCGCGTGACGGCGGCGGCGGCACGCTCGGTGTAGTGGCCCCGGGCGACGATCCTGTCGAAGAGCTCCCCTCCCTCGCAGAGCTCCATGACGAGGTGCACGGCGTCCTCATCCTCGTAGGCGGCGCGGAGGCTGACGATGTTGGGGTGCGCCGGCATGTGGCGCATGATGTCCACCTCCCGGCGCACGTCCTCCACGTCCACGGGCGTCCGCAGCTTGCGCTTGGAGATGGACTTGCACGCGTACCGCGCCCCCGTGGCGGACTCCGTGCACAGGTACGTGATGCCGAACTCGCCGCGGCCCAGCTCGCCGCCGAGCTCGTACTGCGCGCCGAGGTCCCGCCCCGTCGGGTCCCGCAGCACCACCAGGCCCGGGCGCGCCGACGGCGGCGCCGCCCCGCGGTTGTACGCGACGTTGTAGGGGTTCGACTTCTGCTTCTTCGGGCGGTTCTTGCCGCTCCCCTCCGTCAACGGCGCGGCGCAGCAGTTGCCCATGGTCGCCGCCGCGGCCTCCTAGCAGAAACAAAATTGGGGGAAATCGGACCCCGGCGAGCTGGTTTCAACTTTCAGTTCAGCAGCGGCGGCGGCGACTGACTGAAAGCGAAGAGAACAGCTCGAATTGGGGTTGGGGGAAATTCCGTAGGCTTTGTACTGGGACTTGGCGTGTGAGCTGGGGCGGGGCGGGGGCGAGTCCACGAATTCTGGACGCGTTCTAGAAGCGGGCACTATAAGCCAGCCAGCGCAAACTAGCAGGAGGAAACTGCAACCTTTCTCGTGGTTTTTGTGGAGAAGACTGCCGGTTAAGCGAAAAGATCCGCCCTTTTTCGGGGATTTCGTGGAGATGGTGGGGATTTCAGCGGAACTAGCGCCACGTTTGCTTGCTTAGTCTTGATTAGCCTGTTCTTTTTCGATCGATGAATAATATTTTTTTCTCGTACTAAATCAATCAACGGTACTTTCAACCTGAGTTATCAGCCAAATAAGTCCCAACGAATACGGCGTAGTATGGATAATCCCAGCAATGGAGCAGTTGGCTTCTGAAAATGCGTGAGTCAGCAGAGCAGGGGGAATAACACTGGTCAGCTAGTGTCCAAGAACATATTTTTTCATGGCCACAGAGTTGTCGGTTTATGTTGGGACCGTCAGCTTTATAATGCTCCCTCCTCTACAGTCATTTTCAGAGTTTTCGCACTCTTTAATATACGGAGTACTAGTACTGTAAAATTCTGAACGAATTAGTTCTAAAATGTTTAAACTTTATTGAAGCCGTAAACAAATTCTGACTGGAGTGCAGTAGCAATTTTTTGAAAGGGGTGGAGTTGAGTAGAATGGGATGGGGTTAACATAGGATTCACGAAAGGGATATTTTAAATATGAACCGCAGGAGATATTTTTGGAATACTACTGCTGTGCAAAAGACTGGAAACGGTATGAAGACGACTGACTCTGAAGTTTGAAAGCTCGTCCGTCAGGGAGACTTTGGAGGGTGGAATCAGACGTCGTCGACAAGCGGCCTGGAAGCGATGGGTTGGAAGGAGGGTTTGGTAAGCAAGAAAGCGATCTTTCCTTAAGACCTTAAGCAATCCATCGCCCTTTTACGACACCGGTTGAAGGGGGGAAAAACAAGCAAAACAGAGGTGAAAACCAACCACTTCTAACTTAGTAATTCCCATGCTCTTGTTCAGTTTGTAGGTTTCGTTGGTGAATTCTGACCACCCATGTTTCAGTACCTTATCTTTGCTCGAACATTTTTCAGTAATTCTACTTTCTGTGTTAGGCGACATATATGTTAACAGTGAAACACCTGTGGTTACTTAGGCCGTGTATAGGAACACTTAGCTAGACGCTTATGTGCGGTTTTCATTTTCCATGCCCGCGTGGACATTTGGATACACGCTTGGAGCTGTTTCAGGGTGAAAAATAACAGTTTCAGCATGGTAACTGAAAATTGGTGAAGAGCTCTCTTTTTTTAATCTTTTTTCCATTTTAGGCTGGGATAGGTTGAGGCTCTAATGCTTTGTTTCTGCTACTCTCTCTTTAAGCAGCAGCTGCTGCAAGCTGTTGCCATTGACGTAAACAGGTAGTATTTGGCTGACATAATAACAGCCACAGCCGCAGCAGCTGTTTCAGCTGTATCGAACACCTCCAATATAAGTGTTCTTGCATTATACATGCCCTAATCAACCTCAAGATCTGACGTAGTCTAAGAGGTCATCAGGGTAGTGCTTGCACGAATGTATGCCAAAAAAAAAAAGGTGAGCGTGCGTCTATATCCGTTAATGAAAAAAACAAACAGACACTTAACTTGGTCATGAACCTATGCCGCCATGGAGTCATCGATTATTCTAATCGCCAGTCGTTGGGTGACCAGCGCGATTGCTTGACGAGATCAACGTTCAACAACCAGGGGACCAAAGAAGCTTCCGTTCAGTTCAGTCCAGTTCAGACTTCACCTGAACTGACAGGATCAAGCGTGCGATCAACACCGGACGGAAACAGGAGGCGCGGTTCAGCGTTCAGAGCTCGCCTGCTGTTCAAAATTCAAAGTTCAGAGAAAAGGATTTCCAGAGTCCATACTACTACTACTTGTATTTCAGAGCTTCAGGTTTCTGATCCTGCCTGCGTCATGCGTTTCTTCCTTGTACGCGTAGTACATTTCGTACCGAGTGATGCTGAAATTGCTGATAACCGAGCTGCTGCAGTTTTGTTTTGTTTTGGTTTTCTGAATTCCGACGGCGAAGCCGGCCTGGAATCTGTTCTCCTCCTCTTCTCGAGCAGTCGAGCAGCCTTTCTGGTTTGTTTATTTTCAGAACATTTCGTATCGCCATGCTGCCTTTTCTTTACCTGGTCACTTTATTTGTACTAGAAGGACGCGGAGACGAGGAGCGGACTTTTGTTGACAGAGGAGAGGAAAGGGAATGATTTCTGGTGGGCGGCAGGAAGAGAGGAATCTCCGAATCTGCCTGCCATGATGCTCCAGGAGAGTGGAGGAGCCCTCCGCCCACGGGAGTCTGGACTCCGCCACTCCGGAGACAGAAGAGTCTCTGCGGAAAGCAGAGCAGCGGGCACTCGACAGCCTCGTTTTGTCATGTGCAATAATAAAGCCGAGATGAAGAATTCTCCACCCGAGATGCAGATTAGTGGAGTAATATTAATATTCATTCATCAGGAAAATGGCATGCGTGTGTGTAGTGTCTGCCAGAAAGGAAATGCTCTACGTTGACAAGGTTCAGTTCAGTCTTTTCTAGAGACATATATGGACTACGTACTCTGAACGCCTGGCGAAGAGATGAACAGAATCTTCAGTTCACTTCAGGCTGCTGCGCGCCTGATAAGGATCGCCATCTCAACGCTTTTTCAGCGAGCAAACCGTGTTTTCCACTCGTAACAAATCAGCGTAAGCCAAATTTCAGCGCCTTCAGGGTGGAAGATGAAGGTTGAGTTCAGACTTTCAGGCTTTAGCGCGTCTGGAAAAGATATCAGGACTTCAATTCCAGATTCTGCGTATCGACAGCGTTCGGCCTTCTAGTGGCCCTCCCTCTCGTTTCCTTCTCGATCGGATGCAGACTTTCTGCTTTCTACAGGAGGGGGTATGAGACAGTGACGTCGACGAGACGGTTTATGAGACGATGGCGTGCGTGCGTGCGTGTCTCTGGTAGTCTGGTGTCCAGAAAAAGACCCAATCGGTGAGTGTGGGTCGGTAGCACAAGTTTCAGTCCAGAAACGCGCAAGTCGGTTGGTTGGTTTTAGCTGCCATGCCACGTTCGTGCTTGGGATTTTTATCCACGGGCGTGTCATGCATGGTGGTTCAGTTTTTAAGTGATGATAAACAGTCATTTGGGCGCGACTGCTCTCATAAAACCTTTTTAGCATATAGATACTCGACTCCTTTCTTCTTTCTTCTTTCGTTTAAAAGCTCCAATATTTCGGTCTGGTGAATGATATTTTCTTTCTGAACCTTACTTGTTTGTTTTGGGGAAAAAGCCCTTTTGTTTTCTCGGTTATTATTCCATGGATCCTACGAATAACGATAATGCTCGTCTCGCTTTTGATGAGTTAATTTTTAAATTATTGAAAAAAATAGTACCGACATCTATATGTTCATATAAATTTATTATATAAATAAATTGTATGATTAATCTAATCATACTTATTATATACCATAAGTATCAATATCTTTTATATAGATTTGGTTTATAACTTTTAAAAAGATTCACTGAAAGCAAGATACGAACGTTCTGTGATGAGCAATACCGTACGCAGCGAAATCACTATATTAAGGACACGCGAAACATGTCTACCAGTTTGTCCAGGGCTCACGCTACTTTATTATATTCGTGCACGAGATCAGTCCATCGATTCATACACAGACACTGACTCCTACGCGTTGCCGCCACGATCCATGCCAGAGCACGCCATGCCCTGATGCCCGGCCGCCTACGATCCTGCCAAGAAATTAAGCCCCCGTTTAGATCCAAAAATTTTTGGATTTTGGCCCACTGTAGCATTTCGTTTGTATTTGGTAATTAGTGTATAATTATGGATTAATTAGGTTCAAAAGTTTTGTCTCGCGATTTCTCATCCAACTGTGCAATTAGTTTTTTTTTATCTACATTTAGTACTTCATGCATGTGTCGTAAAATTTGACGTGACAAGTACCGAGCAAAATTTTTTAAATCTAAACAGACCCTAAAAGCAAACGCAAGCATGCGCACGCGCTGTCAGAGAGACACGAAAGGTTTCCCGGAGATGCCGGAGGTGGCAGCGCGTGGCCAGCTGGGACCACGCCGAACGACGGGCCGGACTGCTCCAGGCACCTGCACACCGCACGCCGCGCCGCGGGAGTGCCGGCCATCCGCCGCCGCAGCAGCTGCGGCTCGGCGCCGATCAGGTACACACCGCACGGGATCAGCGCGCTCACCGCTTCTCTACACGACACCCCTCCGTCTCCGGCGGCGGTGGCGCCGCGGGCCCGACAGCTGCTTGGCCTTGGGTCGCGAGGACAACCGTCAGCGTCGCCGCGACGACGACGATCGCGATGCACCAGCCGCGTGCGCCCATGGAGCTTGGTTGTCCGGCCAGACGCAAGACTGAGCGAGTTCAGGCGCGATTGTGCTGCTGCTCGCTCCAGATGCGGGCGGCTTAGAGAGGCGGCTTGGTGGCTCACCTCAATATGGCACTGGCACAGCATTCAACAAATCGGATAGGGCGCCTTGCTTGTTTTGGTTTATATATATATATATATATATATATATATATATATATATATATATATATATATATATATATATATATATATGCTACAATTTCTGCAGCTGGCCACAGAATAACTTATTTTGTGGCCACTTTGAGTTACGATAATTACCATGCTAATTTACGAGACTACAGTAACTCCTTGCTAAGTGATTTACTATAACATTATCGTAAATATCACCGTGAGTTGTAGTAACACGAGTATCATAAATGCATATTCATGTTATCGTAAATTGGTACAA